GAATAATTAGAGGTCATCATAAAGAATTAGCCTCACTAAAGCTAGAACAACCCTTTTTCTTAGGTTTTATCATTTTTTCTCAGAATTCTGAAGGTTTTTTAGAATTTTTACTTTTTCTCAAAGTTCTGTTTTTTTCCAAGAAGTCATAATCTTAAGTTTTAAGGCAGATTATCTATTTTTGTTTTTAGATTTCTTAAGCCATTTTTTCTCAAAACATCTAAAAACACATTTTTCTCAGAATTCAGAATGTTTATGAATTTTTTCTCAAAATTCTGATTTATTTCCAAAATGTTCACTTTTTTTCTCAAAGTTCTATTTTTTTCCAAAACAATCTAAGGTAAAATATATATTTTTGTTTTCAAATTTCTAACTTTTTTTCTTTCTGACTTTTTTCCCTCACTCTTAAATGTTGGATTTTTTGAATCACATTTTGTTGTTGCTATAAGAAAAGGTGAATTTCTGCTCAGGAGTTTTAATCATCTTTACCAGGGCAGCCAATAACTGAAGAATGTGTATAAATTAGATTAAAATCGATTGAAGTTAAGCTATTTAGTTTTTTTTTTGTCTATAACCCAGCCTTTGGATAGTGAAGTTTTCTCTATGAATTTTATTACCATAGTTCAAATATTCATGTACAAGATCCCAGATCAAGGCTCGTATTTGTTAAATGTGAGATATGGACATGAGTGCCAAGTGCAGACTCTTTAATTTAAAAGTATTCACATTCAAATAACCTCCATACCTAGCTGTATGAAGCAATAGCCTTCTTAGATTATGCAATGTTTCACGCTGGCCTTGCAAGTCCCACCTCGGGGTAAATGTTCTGCCTCGTAGCCAACGCAGATGTTAATTTGTCAGTCCTAGTTGTCACAGCGACAAGGTTGGACTTCGGAAGAATGTTTGACGTTAAGTTAAATCGGATCGCCCTCAGGTACTTGTCAAAACGGATGTAAAAAATAAATAAATAAATTGAACCAAGTATCTGAACTTTTAATAAGAGCTGAGTTTTTTAGGTCAGACATCACATGCTCAGAGTTAAATAAATAGCCCCTCTTTCACTTAAACACACACGCTGTGCCCCTCACACACTGACAGCTCTCAGCTAACCAGCCTGACAGGTGTTGTGTCTCAGCATGCAGCTCAGACAGCTGCCCGCTCTGGCAGCGCTCTGCCTCCTTATCTGCATACATGAAGCTGTCAGTCAGCACCACTGGTCAGCTCCAAACACACTTTATTCTCTGTACGTTTCAAGCCGGCTCACAATACTTTGTGCAGCAGTTCATGGCTGTGATCAGCGACGCAGCAGTGGCTGCTTCTTCAGTAATTTAACAAAACGCAGCAGCTGCCCCAGAATATTAAGCGCCAGTCGTTACAAGCAGAGAGTGGGTACAATTAATTTGATTAATTAAGATGCTGATGAGAAAAAAGCTTAGTGTGACACAATCCGATTCAATTTAATAGGGAGGTTAAGCCCACAGTGGTCTGATTCAGTTGTCTCAATTCCTTGAATTGAACAATTGTTTCCTTTAGATCCAATTTATTAGGCTCCTCTTCTTGTGCTATAGGTGTTTGTGTTTTCCCTGGAGTGCTGCTGGTGAAGATGCTCCTGTAATTCTTCAGCTTTGCTGCACAGGAAAGAAAACACTTCGATGTTTTCTTCATTGTTTTTTTTCAATATTTCTAACATACGAACTTCTGTTTTCTGCAGTTATGGACTATCAGGTGCAGATTAGCAACATTAAGGCCAAGCTTCAGGAAACGCGTGCCAGAAAGAAACAGCAGGAGGAGCTCATCATGAAAGTAGAAAACCAGGCCCTGAAGGTGAGCGTGTTAGGATCACACCACAGAAACACAAAAGTAGTTTTGGTCTAGTTTCTAGACCGATTTAGCCAGCTGATTTCCTTAATTTTGGGAAATGGGTGATCAGCCGATTTTTATGAAGCTGATCTGATCTACCTTGGCAAACATGTAAAAATCAACCGCTGTCCTCTTTTGCTCTCCCGTTGGAGAGGTTTGACTGATCGACCGGTCAATCGACTACAGATGCAGTCAGTTCTCCCCTAATTTACTTGAAATAAGACAAAACTAACTTACAGTTAACTTGTCAACAAGATACTGGTCCTTTGTTTAAGTAAGTAACTCCTTAATATTGAGGAAAAAGGCTTTAGTTCATCTTATCACATTGGATAAATGTCTTAATACAAGTGAAATAATCTATTACTTTTTAATCAATATCAAGGAATTATTGACATAAAATAAACTCCTATATTTTCAGTTTTGTTTATTTCAAGTGTACTAAGATATTTGCACTAGAAACCAGACCAACATTACTTGTAATAATTAGTGTTTTTGCAGTTCAGGGTTTGTTTATGAAGAAATATTTCTTCACTGAGCTTGTATTTAATTTCATTCATAATGATTGAGTTGGTGAATCTTGCAGAAACCCTGGTTTTTTGGGGTTTTTTTTGTTGGCCTGTATTTGAAACTAGTTCGACAGGAATTAGGGTAATGACAGAGCGGGAAGACATGCGGCAAATGTCCCTAGGCCGGGAATCTAACCTGCGACCACCACGAGGACTAAGGCCTCAATATGTGGGTCGTCCTTTGCCCCTGCGCCACCACAACACCTAGAAACCCTGTTTTTTAAATCGAAATTAAAGGGGATGGATACAAATGTGTGCAATTATATTTTTGGTAAAAAAAAAAAAGTTTTATGAGTTTAAGGAACATTCTATGGGTTGCTATTTAGCGTAGAATTCAGAAAAACAAAACAATCTCCCTCTTCAACCCTGCGCTCTTCATTGAAAACTTGACAATGAGTGGAGCATGAGCAGACATGGGGCTTTTTTCATGTTGCCATTTAGAGCTCTCATTTCCTGGTGTTTGGGACAGTCTCAGGCTCATCACCAGTCGTTATTATCACAGTCGCGTCGAAAAGGTCAGCCGTCTCTGACTGGCATTCCAAGTGGCCTTTCTGTCACAGAGAAGATACTGACATGAGCAGACACACATTTAAAGCCATCACACTTTAATGAGGCTCAGCATGTCGACTCCTACTAATCCCGTTTGTCTCTCTCTCTCTCTCTCTCCTCGATGCAGAATCGCTTCCAAGCCTTGCTGGATGAGATCGTTCAGCAGGAGGAGCAGGAGATGGAGCAGGTGAGTAATTGTTTGGTAATAACTCCACGCTGTGAGCTTTTTACAGCTTTCAGCTCTAAATACCAGCCTTTACAGAAAAGTTAGAAGGCATAGATGAATTTCTTTTGACACTCCCCCCTGTGAAATTTATTGTGATGAGAAGAGTTAATTATCGTCTTCTTTCTCTGCAGTTTAATTTGGTATTTACTGAGCCTCAATCAGGTTTTCTATTTTCTCCCCCAACAGCTGGCTTCGCTTCAGGAGCAGCTGGACTCCCTGATAGAAAAATGACCAGCAGGGGGCAGTCTCTTATCGTCTTCAGCCGCTCATCATCAGGAGAATGAGAAGGGAGGAGGACCGTGTCCTCGTTCAGGAGGGAGGCGTCTTTTATCAACGAAACTTGCCTTGTCATTCCAAATTGCTTGTTTTATGTATCACATCTGTGGCATTGTGATTTGTGAATAGTTTAGAAGGTTTTTTACAAGTTGCTGCATTATGCATGTGCATTTTGGGCTTTAGGAGGAAGTATTTTGTCATTCTAAAATAAAATACGAGTCTTGTACAAGTTTTGCTTCTGTCTTTTCTGTGTAAGAGTGACACGTACCAGCATATTCATATCTTTGAAGCATTTGCTTCATCCATTTAGGGTGCAAATAAATAAACTTTTTTCTGTATTATTTTTTGCTATGAATTGCAAATTTTTTTAAACCATTGCTTTAAAGAAATCATATGTTTCTGCTTTTTTTTAACTTCAAAACTAACAACGGTCAAGATGAAAGTGGCAGAAAGTTGTTTTTGCTTTTTTTCATTAAGCAATTGTTTAAAAAAATGCGCCAACAGAAGTGGTGTGTTTTCCAGTGAATAGAAAATATAATTAAATAAAAAACTGTATTTTTCTATAAAAAGTTAATTTTCCCAATTTTTGATAGCAAAATTCACTTTTACAATAATTTCAATCAACAGATTAAGGATGAATTAAAATAAGTGGGTCAGATTAAGTGAGTGGTTTAGGTAGTGTTGACACAGTCTCAGTTTATTTAGTTGTTTCACACAGAGGATGAGTGAAGTTCTTTCATTATTCATACCCGCCGTCTTTGCTTAGTAGCCAAACTTGTGAAAGATCTTTATTTTTGCTCATGAAACAACAATGGAAACTGAACCAAACCAAAAGGTTGCCATCAGCAAGTCTCTCAGGTGTCCTAAATAATTCTCCTTATTTTACTTTACGGTTCTTTGTTTTTGTGCCTCAAAAGAAAAATAAAGCAGAAATGTTTAAAGTTGAAGCTGTAAGAACTCCAGGCAGTGCGGATCCTCATCTGTGGCCACAAATCCATCGTCATTTCTGATAAAACAGATTAAAGGATGATAGTTTACGTGTTTTTCTGACAGAAACTCAAGAAATTGCTTCTGTGAATTTGCTGCACAGTTGAATTAAATAATAGTTTGAATATTTGACTTTTTTTTTTCTGACCCGTCTTCTTTTCCAGAAATACATTTTTAAAAAGTCTGAATATGTGATGGGATGTTCTTTTTTCCTTTATGTGTCTATTCTCTTAACCTTATCTGAACTTCTCTTAATTTAAAATGAAGCGCATCAAAGAGTTTGATTCATGCTTCATGTATCTACAGTTATGTCATCAAGTTCATCGTATTTATCTATTTCCAGTATGAACTTTAATTGTCCCACAGGAATCTAGACCTTTCTCGTCCAGGAGAGTCTGTTTCTTGCTCCTTGCCGCAAGGATTGCCCCACCAATCGTCAGGGTAGGCGAGGGATTAGCTCCACAGATTAAAGTGGCCATCTCCAAACCCTGGCTAATCCCGCCATCTGTCAGAGAGCAACAAACCAGCCAAGACTCTCTTCTCTGGGCTAATTAGAAAAGTCAGAAGAGCGCACATCCAAAGAAGGGGGAAAGGAAATCTTCAGACTTTTCTGTTTAATATTCACCGAGGCGATGGAGGAGACGTACCTTCTCAACTATCCTGGTGTCAAGAAGAAAATCCTGGCGGGAGGGAAAGGACCTCTGCCTCATTTCCCACCTGGGACAAAGGTACCTTTAAATTCCCCTATTGGTGTTAAATGCCGATAAACCAAATAAATAGCAATTCTAGTTTTTAAGTGGATATTTATAGATGGGTTTTATGCACCTAAGGTAGATCTGAATTATTCATGAGGGGAAAATTACTCCATGTCTGGCTCTCATGCACAAAGCAAACATTTGGTCAACCAAATTGCAACATGGTTTTTGGCCCACTGCCTCTGATCTGCTGGTCTCCAACTTTTCCCCTGCTTCCCAGTCACCGTCCAGCCATATGGCACTGAGCCTGGATGTTGTGACAAATATTTTCCATGACAATGACAGCATGAATTTCCATTCACCTGCGTGTGTGTGAGTCTTTCCACTCCACCCAGACACACAGCGTTCAGACGTTTTGTCTGTTATTATCACAAGCTACGAGTAGAAGGTTAGGACCCAACATAATTTCATTTTGAATGTATTTTATAACAAATAGGTGAGAGATCTAATAAAATACTTCATCTCTACACTGTAAAACATTTGATGTTGGTTTAACTTGAAAATTAAAGTCCACCTACTGCCATGAAAACACAATTTAAGCCAAGAAAATTGTTTTGGTTCTAAATTTAAGTTCATGAAGTTGATTTATAAACAAGAAACAAGTTATCTAAGCATTATTTTTTAATATTGAATTGTGAGTTTTAACTTAATCCTGCAATTTAAACCAAATTATTCATAATATGCCAGAAAAATAATTTTTAAATGCGAACCTAAAAGCTCTAGTTTGTTCAACTCTTGGAGGTTTGATAAAATTAATAAAAAGTAACACAACTTGCTAAAATTATCTTTCACAAACTCACACATTTAGGTTCAAAATCTAAAATTCGCAAAATTTATTTGACTCAAAGAGAAGATAATAGACACAACGAAATGCAGCTCAAATGTTTTACAGTGTGTGTTGCATAATAATGAAATTCAGTATTAAGTGCTTTTAAATAATAGAGCCACTAAAGCACTGACCACCAGGGCAATTTAAATTAAAAAGGCTTACATATTCAAAGAAAACTGACAGCTTGGAACTACAAAAGTGATAGAATAATCCAATGAGAAATAATTAGAAAAAACTTGATGTCAGACAAACATTTCTGTATTTTCTCTGCTGTACATCTAAGGTGATCTTCCATTTCCAAACCCTGCTGGACAACTTTGAGCGAACGGTCATCGATGACAGCAGACTGGCCGGCAGACCGGCTGAGATTTTTGTCGGAAAGATGTTCAAGATGGAAATCTGGGAGCCCTTGCTGACGTCCATGCGGGTCGGAGAGGTGGCAGAGTTCTGGTGTGACGCCGTTGTGAGTCCTAGAGGTCATACTCATGGAGCATAGCACTGTGATTTGTTCAGCCCTATCATGTTAATGTTTTTGTTTATGTGTAATTTGTTTCAGCACACAGGGTTGTATCCCATTGTGTCAAAGGGAATGAGGCTGATTGCCCAAGGGAAAGACCCCCTGGAGGGCCAGAAACACATGTGTGGGATGGGGAACCTATTCCACTATCACTCCACTGGCTTCCCGGAGCTCGACGAGATAATGCGAACTCCTCAGCCACTCATATTCATCATGGAGTTGTTGCAGGTGAGCTACAGAGTTTTATTGGATGATTTAAAGATTATTAGCCCCAGAGCAGGCTCAAGCTCAAATAAAAAGCTGCTTAATGCCTCCGAACCAGCAGAGGGCGCACAAGAACTCTGTAATTTCTGTCATAATTATCTTATTAGAGCAGAAAGGATTAATTCCAGGTAAAATATTTTTTGTAAAAGTTTTATAAGCCTTGGACTAAAGTGCAAAATACAAGAAAAAAACAAAGAATTGAGTTACACTATGAAAACAAAAAGAACTTGGTTTACCAGCAAAACAAGCAGAAATATTTGTATTTGTGATAATTATTCAAAAATTTTATATTCAGTGGTATGTAGAGATGTTGTTTTTAGATTCTGACGGAAACTAAAATTATAGCTAAAAATAATAGTAGAAATGGTCAAATCACATGTAAAAGACAATGTACATTAATATCTATGATATATTCCATTTTGATTGATTTTTATTGTTCAACATCAGCAGAGCTTTCATCCGTAACTCATTTTTATAACAAAACATCAGAGCACAAATGACTAGCACCTGTACTGACTCTATGTAATGGTTATGTTTTGCTGAACATATGTTGTGCTTCTGTATGAAGGTTTGCACCTCAGGGCTTCTGAAGAGTAAAAGCAAAGAAAAACAAAACATTAGATGTCCTTCCTCTATGCAACCACAACAGATAAAAAAAAGAAACATTTACAATGCACTGACAGTATAGACAAAAAAAAAACCTGTTTCTGTCTACAAACATTCAACTTTGAAGAGATAAACAAGCTGAATCTCATCTGGGACTTTGATGCTTCAAGGCGTAAAATCTATATTTTTTCTTCTTTTGATGCCTTTTTCATTGGGAAAACTAAAGATCTCTGACTTAAGTTGTGTAGCCGCAACGTAAAAGTTAACACAGGAAATTATTTAGTCTTTGTGCTCTTCAAAACGTAAGACCTCTACCTGCAAACTGGTTAAGCAGTAAAAAGTCCTGCGATACACTTTATGAACTGCAAGAATGGATCCATTTAAATGCAATTTTCTTTAAACTTAATAGAGTTTGGTGTTGTTTTGTAGAGCGCAAAGACTTAAATAAAAGAAATTCAACTATTTGTTCTGCACTATTTTTACTAGCATTTTATTAAGCAAGTTGTTGAAAAGTTAGCAAACTTGTATCACTTTCTTATCTGCAGTAACAATTACGAATATCTAAATGTGATGTATTTATAAAACATAACTAAAAATACTTTTGGATGACTGTCTTCCATTGCTGGAGTTTTTTTTTTTTCTGCTCTGCTCCGTGTTTATCCTGCTGCGTTCTCCTTTTCCCCCCTGCTGCTCCCAGGTAGGACCCCTTGTCTTACCACAGAGAATCGTGGATGATGGAGAAGGACGAGAAGCTGCAGAAGGTGCCGGTTCTCCACATGCAGGGCAACGCTCTGGTCAGGCAGAAACAATTCAGAGAGGCTGCCAGCAAGTACAAGGAAGCTGTCCTGCTGCTAAAAACAGTGCAATCCAGGGTGAGTAAAGGATGGAGATAAATCATGGTTTTACATGTTCTTTCTGTCCTTTAACATATTAAAAAAAACAGCAACCCAAGCTGACCTCTATCCCGTTTGGTCAGCTGGTTTTACCGCTGTGCAATGGCTGCTGGAAAGACAAGTGTTTTGTTGTTGACTTACCATCCAGAAACCAATTGCTGCATTCTTGTTGATTGTGCTGGAGGCTCCACTTTTGCTTTTCAAAGATGTATGGTCGCATAATTGTGAAGTTGTTTGCAGCCATTTTCACGTGAGACTGTAAACGTAGAGTTGAGGGCTGTGGCCAGCAGCAGATTATTTGGATTTAAAGTAACAGGAGGCCCCAAAATATCTAATTCTGAAAGCAGATCAAAATGAAATTTCATTATCTAAGAATGATTTTGAGCAAAAAATGTAATAAAAATCTTTTGTATAGCTTCTCTAATCTAGTAGGAAGCATCATGTTTTTGCTTTAGTCACTGTTTCAAATCCTATTGTTGTTTGAATCAGTGAAAAAAACCACCAGACCCATCAAGTTCAAGTAAATTATTCATCTTTACGAGGAAGTGCAGAGTGACAGCAGCACCATGGCCATGTCCTGTTCTCTCTCTCCCGTCTCTGCATGTGTTAGGAGATGCCAGGTGATGTAGACTACATTAACTTGGGGCGAATGATTGTCCCCCTGGAGCTGAACTACTGCCAGTGTATGTTGGAGCTGGAGGAGTACTACGAAGTCATAGAGCACACAACGGAGCTGCTGGAGAAACACAAAGGTAACAACAAAGTCTTGGAGGAAACACTGCTGTAAGGTTCATGTTAGGAAATTGCTATGCTGGGAATCACATATTTAATTTATTTCTTCCAGGAAGAAATGACATAATGTACTCTGTCTTTTCTTCCATCTTCGTTTTTTTTCTTTTTTTTCCTGCGTCACCAAGCTGCACACATCTGGGTCGCTATACCTCTGAGGTTAGCAGCTGCATTGGAGGCTCCATGGTTAATCTTGTGCATTGAGGTGGTTTAACAGTGTGAGGTTATTATTCACTCCAGAGATGTGAACCAGCAAATCTCACCATATGTTGCTGTCCTCTAAGCTCAAGGCTACTGATGTGCTCAAAATCAGAGAAAAATGAAGAAAACACAATTTCTTATCAGAGTTCCTTTGGTGTTTTAATTTTCAAACATATTTTAATGCCTCTTTTTAATGTTTTTTAATCCACTCTTACCACAAAAGGCTCAAAATATATTATGCACCAATCCTCAAGGCAAAAGGAAGAAATTACAAAAATGCAAAGGCTTTTGAGACTCTGTAATGTAACTACACGAATGCAATTATGCATGCCATAATTGATTATCCTATTACAATTGGCACTTGTCAAGATGTAGGGATTGTTGTGCTGCAAGTGAGCTGTCACTTATTGTAAACACTGAAACTCATCAAGCTTGGCGATCTTTGTTCTTTTGACAGAAACTGCGATGTGATCAGCAGATCAGGATTAGTTTTAACGAATTAGAGAATAACACTTTGACTGGAGTGTAAGGTAGCTGGCACCTGCTAATCGTGGTCCAAGACAAGTCGATATAAGAACCAATAACAGAGTCCTTACAGGTTCACTGGTGCAGAAAATCTGGTCTGTATGAAGGAATCTGTGAAAAACATTAATCATGTTAGTTTCAGCAGAAGAACTGTAGCATTAAATGAACCACACCAAATTTAAATTGTAGGCTTTTTTGTATTTTTTTGTTAAAGAATTTGGTGTTTACTTATTAGATTACATCAATCAGGGGCGTGATTGTCAATGTTCATAAAGTAAAACATCACTCTCACAAATATGTTTAACAAAATGTTTGTCAGGAAACGTCTAAAAGTAATTGTTATTCATCACAGAGAAGCCAGTGGCTTACCAATGTTATTATAATGGTATTCATCGTAAATTGAGAAAAAAAAAAAACAGTAAATTCTTCCAGAAATTTTTTTCTTCAGTCTCATAAATTTTCTAGAAAAAATGTGTAAGTTTCTGAGTGTCAAAATTTGAAAAAAAAATCTACTGGATGTTTGTGTTGTGCTGTAGTATCAAATTAAGAAGTGAAGTGGCGGCTATACGAAAGTGCTCCCCGTCTTTATGCAAAAGTCGGGACCTTCATCTCTTCGGATCGCCTGGATCCACTGCCTCCGTTGGTCCGGGTCCGTGGGGAACGCATGATATGACAGATAAGGCTGTTTTCTTGCCCCACACGAACAACCAGGGACTGAACAAAAACAACTGCGCCGAGACTGAGTCATTTTCCTAGCCTTTTAATGCTAACGCTATAGCCACCGGAAGTTGTCCAACCCCAGATCCGCTTTATAAAACCCGGAAGCGTGAAAAAGGTCGAACTTTTGTTGCTGCGGGGCGCACAACATGCGGGGCGGTTGTGCCCCGGCCACGAAAGGCACCAAAAACCTGACATAAACAGAAATGTTCCGTAAGTAGGAAAGAAATAAAAATACATCTAACTGTTTGGATCATTTCTGAGTTATTATCATGAGTAATAAATGATCTGACAGTTAAAAAAAAAAAAGGTTGTGCCCCGGCACCGCGCATACGCACAACTGCCCCGACCCCTGAAACGTCAACAGTCTTGTGAAATAAATCTGTGACACTGGCCCTTTGTCCGTGACGTCACGCACTCCACCATGATGGACGTTGGACGTTAAAACAACCAATCCGCTCCTTTAAAGTCAGTCTAAAAACAAGACATCTGTAACCTAATGCGGTTTCTATTTAGTTGATAACAAATTGGGATGTTCTTATCTGTTTGTGCTGCACAATCAGATGAAGATAGAAACCAAACTTGTCATTTTATTTGATCATTTTTAACGAGGAAAGATGGCGGCGGCAGTGGATAGCAGCTGTCAATAATAATGGCTGGCAGTCCTCGGTGTGACCGCTGATTCGTACAGGGTAAGAAGATTAACATTCATATACTTTATGAGTAAGTATGATTAGAAATATATCAAATATTGCAATATGGAGAAGGTAGGGGTCTAACTATTGGTAACCATGTAGCCTAGCTTGTATAGAAAAAAACTAGTTAGCATCTTTTCTACGTTTTTAACTGTGACTTGCGGTCAGGTGATCATGGAAAAGTAATAAATAATAATAAGATCATTTATATTGATATTGTCACCCTGTGCTTTGTACTGTAGAAAACCTGCTTTTCATTTAGCTTAACCAATTCTGATTATTTCTTTTTCAAAATCGGTGGATTTTCGCATTTTCCCATCCCATTTGAGCATCCAAATGCTCATCCTGTCTGTATGTCGCCAATAAAATGGCTGAAAAACATTTAATGTTTTAACTTATTTTACATCATTTAGCTGATGTATATAATGTATATTGTTTTGTCACCAACTGTGTGTGTGACGTGTTTCGTATCATGGACGGCAGCGAATAGATTCGAGGTGAGGCAGGCAGTTCTCTTGCCTCACGGCAGGGGGCGCTCATGATCCCAGACATTGTGACTCCACATCTGCACAGTAAGAGCTAAGTGTGAGATATTACAGAAAGTTTACTGTTCTTTAAGGTTGTTTTAGTTAATAAATGATCAGATTCTTAGAGTTTAAATCTACTTCAATTCCTGGAAAACGATTCTCTTTAATATGAAGGATCCATTAAACAAAGAGCCAGTCCAGACCAGCGTTAAGCTACTTCAGCTAAATTTTTAAACTGTTTCTGTCTTTCCATGAGAAGCTGCTGGATTCTACAGCTGCACGGTGCGAGAGAGTGCGTAGGAGGACATGAGGTTGACATTACCGCAGGTTTTACAGCGAGAGCAGCCATGGGAATTGCACTGTCACACTCATGGCTAGTCGTATAAGCCGAGAGGAGCCTTGCAAGTTGGCACAGCCGCCACTTCAGAGCCTCACCAGTTTCCCTCCTTACCCTGACAGAATGCTCAGAGACAGCCTGGGTTGTCAGTATTACACTATTCTGATTATTCTGTTAGTTTATGTACTTTGGTGCTCCCCTACTTTCACTGCAACTGATAATATTTTGGGGGTTAAGTCAATAATTATGTGCCAAACGACAGCAGTCCTGGCTAAGCGAGCTTAAAAACAGGATACACATTCTCTTAGCACTACCACAAACTTCTGCTCATTTTGTGGGATTTTATGTGACAGACCAAAACAAAGAAATGCATAAAGGAAAAGGTTGCATGTTTCTTTTTCAAATAAGCACTGAAAATGGTAGCATGCGAATACATTCAGCCCCACGAGTCAAAACTTTGCAGAACTATTTTTTCGCTGCAAGAGAAACTCTTTTGGGATTTGTCTCCCCCAGCTTTATTCATCTAAAGACTGAGATTCTTTGATGCACTGCAGCTTAAGCTGCTGTGAATATCAGCTTTCAAGTCTAGCCACAAATTCCCAGTTTGATTTGAATCTGAACTTTGACTAGGCCAGTCCAACTTTGATCAGCTTTGATCTACACCACTCGTTGTGGCTGAGACTTTGTAACGAGCCGAGTCTTTTCTACTCTTAGTTTATTCGGTAGTATTTAATTTTGCTTTGTGTTGTGGTTTTAAGCTGTAAATAAGAGCTAAATGTCTGTATTTATTCTGAGTCCATCCCTACGTTGCCCAGGCTCAACATGCAGCTGCAAGCAGCTGGTTTCAGCATCACCAGCTGTGTTTCCAGTAACCACAGAATTCTGCTAATTGAAATCAAGAAAATAAATTTGCTTAATATAAACACGCCATTTAAAAAAAAAAAAGTGCTACAATGAGGTGGTTTTTCAGCCATTTTGAAATGAATGTATTTTGTAAAACTGAATTGGAAACAATTTTTTCACATCACAGAATGTTGCATTTAAAAACAACCGGAAGACGAATGTGTGAGACGTAGCACTGCAATAATAAGATTTAAACTTCATAAGAAGAGCAGTAAGGCTGTAGAGACATTTTAAGCTTCACCAGTAAAGTGCAATAACTCAACATAACATCACATTCTGTCAGGTTACAGCTACAAACTTCAGTGTTTTACTGGGATTTGTATTTTTATAAGTTTTTATAAAGCTTTGGCGTAATCTGTCTTTTGTCAGTTAACACTTTTAGGGTTTGTCTAGCAGTTTTTCAAATATAAGATAAATATTTTTAACCGTTCTTTGTAAAATGGTTCAATCCAACTGCATGAAAAGTGTCACCGCTACAGTTTTCAAGTCTTGGAACAGGCTCTCATTTATGTTTAGATCTGGACTTTGACTGGGCCATTCTAAGACCTGAATATGTTGAGATCTAAACTATTTTTGTGACTTTGGTTGCTTGTTCAGGATATTATTCCTTTCTGCTAAAAATCTTTCCAAGTAATTTTTGTCTAGTTTCTAGTGCAAATGTCTTATCACACTCAAGACAAAACTAACTTACAAGTCATTTTCTGCTGGGAGCTTGATTTATGTAAATATTTAGGGATGCTTTGATTTGACATGTGGGCTGATATCTATATCAACTACTGATATTTCTGTTATGGCCAATAACCAATATTTACCAATGTTGTATATATTTCACTACCATTTCCACACCTGTGGGGAATAAAATCAACCAGAAACAGATAAAAATAAATATTGGTTGTTCACATCGGCCCAGTTTTATTTATCAGACCGACGTTATTTTTAACATCCATTCTCCTATAAACTCTGACCTGCATCATGTTTTTCTCTGCCAGATTCGTGTTTTCAGTCGCGTCTTCTTCCCCAACACGGTTTACGTCAAACAGAACATTTTATATTTCTTCTTCTATAAAAGACAGATTTGTGTAATTTTAATTTTACTCCAAAGATATACAACACTTATAAAAATACAAATCCCAGTGAAACACACTGAAGTTTGTAACCTGACAGAATGTGATGTTGAGATGTGTTTTACAGAGGAGCGTTTTCAAACTCCACTGGTCAAGCTTAAAACGTCTCCACAGCCCCACTGCTCTCCTTATGACGTTTAAATCTTGTTATTGCAGGTTTCTGTCTTCCTGCTGTTTTTCCAGCTTTTTTTTTTCCCCACAGCCTTTCATCACCTTCTCATCCTCCTCTAAGTTGGTGCTGTGTTGTTGTTTCTCCTGTCGTCAGTGTCATGTTGTCTGCTGAATTTTAAGTCTCTCGTTTCGTCCCCTCAGCGCAGCAGCTCTGTGGAAACGGCAGCCTCGCTGCAATGTTTCTGCCGCCGGCGACAGTGAAATCTGTTTAACTGTTGGCTGAATAAAAATTTAGCATAGACAGAAATTAAATGCTGAGGAACAGAAAAAGCATCAGTGAGTGTATCTAGCCTGAAGACAGAGGCACTGCCATGCAGCGTTTCTTTACAAACTGGTGTTGAAAACTGATCATTTATTTTTAAGTTGCAAGCTTCTTATCATCTTAGTTTAGTCAACGAAGGGTAAAAAAGTTAAATATGTTTCTGCAAATCTAAAAACACATTCATGGTGCTTCTACATATGATACAGATTCCCCTTGTGTTGTTTTGTTTTACAGAAACAAAGCAAGATATGTCTTTATTTTGTCTGCATTTACCAGAAACCTAAAATGAGCTAAAGTTATTTTGCCTGAATGACATGAACACCTAATTTCAGATGCATGCAAATCCAATTTTGACATGTTAGAGATATAAGCTGAAGCTGCAGTTTACCAGATTGCAAACTCAGCATCTACAGAGCATATTTCTACTTCTGTATGAATAATGAAACCATAATTTAAGAAACTGCTTGAATTTCTGCTCCTCAGACTGCGTGAAGGGCTACTACAAGCGGGCCAAGGCTCACGCTGCCGTGTGGAACGAGAAGGAGGCCAGGAGAGACTTCAGTACGGTGGCCCAGCTGGACATCACTCTGACTGCGCTTGTCCGCCGAGAGCTGAAGGAGTTGTCGGAGCGCATGAAGGAGAAGTACTGGGCGGAGAAGGAGCAGTACTGGAACATGCTGGAGAAAAGGGAGGGCACCAGTAAACACGAGGAGGAAGAGCAACAAGATGAAGAGAAAGATGAAGAAACAAAAAAGAAAGAAAGCGACTTTGAAAGTGGCGAAGCGGGAGAGAAAACCGGTTCATCTGAGATGAAACGTGTTGAAGAAGGAGAAGCTGGAGAAGAAAAGGTTGGGCCGTGTGAGGGAGAGAAGGAGGAAGAAAGCAGCTGTGCAGCGGCGCTCCAGGCCTGGGACACGATGGAGGGGAAGGACTGGCAGCAGATGTTACGGCTGGTCATGTTTCTGCAGAACGAGGGAAACTTCCTCATCAAAGAGCAACGCTTCCCAGACGCTTCCGCCAAGTTCAAGGAGGCTTTGGGATACGTGGACTTCTTACAAAACAAGGTACGCAATACAAGACATGTTATCAAGTTTATTATTCCTGCTAAAAAAAATATTGGCAAGTAATTTTGGTCTAATTTCTAGTGCAAATATGTTATGACAAAACTAACTTACAAGTATTTTTTCAGTACGATATAGCAGCTTGTTGTAGGTAAATATTTCCTCAAGGTGCTGGTTCCACTGGCAGATTATGTCAATTATTATTTTCTGTATGTTGTAAGTGAAACAATCTGCGAATGAAACACGTAATTTTTCATCAATATCACTTAAAACAAGCTCTGATATCTTGTTGAAAAGTTGTTTGTAAGTTAGTTTTGTGTTTTTTAAAGTGTACTAAGATGGTTGCACTAGAAACCAGTCCAAAAATACTGTGTAATGTTTTGTGTTTTAGCATTGAACAAACAACTGGAGCCACAATCTGATGGTTCAGATCTCAGCATATTAAAGCCCAGATGCAGATTTAGTGTTTTTGCAGTTCGACATTGAATACATTTCAGGTGAAGAACGAAGTGGTTTAGGACTTGTTGTGGCTTTGAATAGCTGCTGATGATCTGCTCGGTTTGTTTTTGTCCTGAAGAGCAGCGTTGGTTCACCGGGAAACTGAGGAGCTAAAAATATCAGACATCCACAGACGCCTCTCTCCTTCGGCAACTTTCCTGCAGTCCCCAAATGCTCCATCTTTATTTCCCCTTTACCTTACAGTCATCGTCTTCATCATTTCCTCCCTTCCTTTTCTATATGTGCTCACATTCTCTTGTTTGGATTTAATCTTTTCAACATTTCCTCTGCCGTATATCACCTCCGCGCCCGCCTCCGTCCATCCGTCCGCTGCCTGTCATCAGCAGGTGGATCAACACGGCGAGGACTGGGAGTCGCTGGAGAAAGTGCGTCTCCCGCTCAGCCTCAACCTGAGCCAGTGCATGCTGGAGCTGAAACAATACCAGGAGGTGGTGGAGCTGAACAGCCGTCTGCTGAACACACACACAGGTAGGATGTGTTGGTGTGGAAAATCAGACAGTTTGTCACACTTGGCAGGAAGCTGAAAACAAAAATTCCTACTTGATACAGAAATAGGAACACAAGTTAAAAATATGAAGGTCTTACCTCTGTAAAAATCCTTTATCTCTTTGTTCCCCTGACACAAACCCACAGACATCACAGTCAGAAATGAATTGTACATTTGCTTCCTCTGTGATGAATTATTTATAGTGGAGGCCGATGTGACATTTCAGTTTTTATGTTTGTCTTTTCCCATCGTTTAGTTTTCTCAGCATTCCTCAGACATCTTCCTGCCACCGACCCCAAACCTGCTGGTCGATTTAGCTGTTTCCACCTCAGTCAGGAAATTTATTGTGCTGCTTTTTGGGTTTCATTTCTGCTTATTCACAGAACCATGCAGCCATGTTTATGCCCTGTAAACTTTTACATTCTTATTTTTTTCTCTTTAATTGTCAAGTGTAGCCTTTAGAGGTCACCTCATTGCAAATAGAGTCCATGTTTGTTTGATTCAGGTTGACTCCAGTTGATCTGTGAAGAACTTTATTTGAATCAAAGACTTGAAACTGCAGGAGCATGGACAGTTTCAAGCACATTAGTTTATACTTTCTTATTGTTTCTTTATGCGTTACATAATTAGGGCCACTGAAAATGAAAAAAAAAATGACTGGAAAATATGTGATTTATTTCTTAGAAATGTAAAATTTTTAGAACTCAGACATTTTCTTGCTTTTTCTAGAAAATTTCTGAGATTGATCTGAAAATTTCTCCTTTTTTTCTGACAAATTTTTCACCTTTTGAACTCAAATTTAAAATTTTTGTCTCACAAATTTTCAACTTCACAAACTCAGAAATATCTTTGTTATATGGCATTAACACATCATTGTACAATTGCGTCTTTGGGGACAAATTGTTAAAACCTTTTTCAAGCCAAAAGTGCTTGAACTCTCATTGGCTGATTGGGTTTTGCTGGGGTTGCTAGGTAACAGGCAGCGCCTCCTCATTGTTGACGTTACGTTCAGGTTTCTGAAACGGGTCATTTTCCAGACGCCTAAAAACATTCATTTATCTCTAAGGAACGTCTGGGTGTTTTTTAACAAAACTCTGACCGTTTCGTGAAGCAGCAGAAACCCAAATGGAAGCACAAAAACATGCCAAAGTGAATTTTATGTTACCTTTCAAAGGATATAAATAAAGCTCTGAACCATTCTCGTTTACCTCTCAGTTCTTCTGCTGTCTCCACCCATTTCTTCCCATTTCTACTCCAAAGGTAACTTTAAAGCGACGTACCAGAGGGCGCGGGCGCACGCCGCTTTGTGCAACGAAGATGAAGCTCGAAGAGACTTTGCCACGGTGGAGAAACACTGGATCCAAAGTTTAAACCCTTTATCCAGAAGGAGCTGAAGATATTGGGGGAAAACGTTCGCAAAAAGCACGCCGGGCAGAAGAAGAATTATTGGGGAAACAACAAAGGAGAAGTGGGCTCCGGTTGGAAGCAGGACCAAGGATGCAATAAGAAAGAAAAACACAAACTCTGCTAAGAAAACCACAGAAAAAAACACTGAAAGTCATAAAGAGAGGGAAAACCCAGCAGAACACCGTCCTGTTGAGACTGAAGGAGCAGGCGACTGTGAAACAGAAAAAAATCCGGATTTGAAAGCCGAGTGTTGTGATAAAGAGCAAACGTGTGGGAGGACGAGTGAATTGGGGTCAGATAATGAAAAACCAGCGAGGGTCGCGGCTCCTGAAGCAGATAATCACAAAACAGATAAAGATGGTGACCCTGCATCCACCAGCTCTGATAATGTAGTGAGCAGGAGATCGCGGCACGATAAAGGGAAGAAGAAGAAGAAGGTCAAACGCCAATCAAGAGATGCAGCAAAAAGAACAAAGTCAGGGACAGGAAAAGGAGACGGACCAATAAACTGACAGCAGCTTGTAGAGTCACAAACGTTGGCAAAATCAGAGATAAAAAGTAATTATATAACAGAGCTGGAAGAGAAAAAATAGTCAGGAAATACATATTTTACACTTTATAGACAGCTAAAAAAAGGAATATAAATAACATGGCCTCATTTTGAGTGTAGTTGTTTTATTCAACCCACAAAGGGCTTATTAAAAACACACGCAGATGAGCAGTTTGCCAAATACAAAGTTTTATTTCTGTACACAAAGAGTAGAAAGCAGCCAGTAACCCACTTGTTATTACAGTAAAAAGCCTCTCCTCAGAAAACCTCTCACACAGATTAAAAACTCCCAGGACAAAGTGTTGGACGACAACAGGAACTCAAAACCGTTAAACAACGAACTTCAAGGTGATTAATGAGGTATATTAGTGGACGCCTCATTTCACCTGCATGAATCAGGGATTTTATATGAGTAGAAACTTGCTTGAGGTTTGGTGATGTGTGCATGTATCCTGTTGCATGTTAGGCGACATACATGAAATCTGAACAAACATGTTCAGACCAGAGAGGAGTCAGGCTGCAGAGTGATGATGATGATGCATGTGAGCTTGTGTTTGTTTCCGTCATGCAACATGGAGCGATAGTTGGCATGTTTGTAGAAGGGATACGGGTCACATAAGATAGAAAAAGATTATAATTCTGAGTAAAAATGCAGCAGAACATTGTGTTTTTTTCTCAACTGGGGAAAGAAACATTATGTGTCTGTGGCATAATGCAACTGCATCGCAAAAACAAAATGTTACCAGTCTATTTAGTCTAGTTTCAAATGCAAATATCTTGAAATAAGACAAACTAACTTACAAGTAACTTTTCTAAGCCAATAATTACTTAATGTATCAGGACTATTGGCAGATTATTTCACCTTCGACATGAGAAAATAATCTAGAACTAGAAGTTCTTCATCAACATTAAGAAATTATTTACTTAAAAAAGCTCTTATAGGTGGAAAGTTAGTTTTGTGTTATTTCAAGTCTAATAAAAGGTTTGCACTAGAAACTGGAACCAAAAGGATGATAGAAATAAGAAATACTAAAGCTGAAACCGTTCCTGTTTATTTATGCTAACTAGCGTAAATATAGTAAGTAAAGCTAGGTGCTGTAGGAAGTTAGAAAAGTTTGATGTGTTCCTTTTGCACTTTAAAGTTGAAACCTTGATGCTATAAGTTTAGAAAAATAACCCAAAATGCCCAAAGTTAAACTTTCAACTTAAAAAACAAAACAATGAAATCAACCAATTCATGATTTGTTCTGTTATTTCTAGATCTTCCATCTCTGCACAATTCAAACTGAGACTCAAGTATTTTTGTGTTTTTGGGTCTTAATGAAATAAATAGTAATATAATGTTAGAAATACTGCCTCCTGCAGGTGGGAGTTAGCATCACACAAACGTTTTTGACTATTTTGTTGGAAATTTTTCAGTAAACTCACAATTAAGCATTATTGCAAAAAAGTGTGCAGGAATCTGATGATTTTCCATGATGGTGGATCTCAAACTAGAGCGACTAATAAAATCTGACATTGTTCATATTTAAAAAGTGATTTGGTTTGATTGATAAAATAAAATTTAAGCACACAACTGTTAAGTTGAAGATTTTATTTATGCGTCCCTCTGGAGTCTAAAGGGCCACATAAATAGCTACGGCGGGCCGGACTTGGCCCCCGGGCCACAAGTTTGACCCAGAATCACAGAACATAAAGAAAAAATTCGAAAGCGACTCAGAGAAAAATACAAACGTAAATAAATTGACCTGTGATTAACTTATTTAAGGCCAAATTAATTTATTTTAAATGAATTTGAGACATTTCAGGACATTTTAAGGCCTTAATTTTGGAATTTTAAGTTTTAAATTGATGTGAAGCGTCATTTCCACACCCACATTTCAACTTCCAAGCTAATGCAGCATCAAACGTTTTGTAATTCGCCGATTGATTTCTGCCACATGGCGCCGTTTATGCTGATTGCTGTCGTAGTAACTGGATTCCCCATGTCTGAGTCGCTCTAAACAATCTAACCAGCAGCGTAACTTCATTAAATATCCATTTCTTGTCTTCTTGAAACCGCCATGTCGCTGTGATATTAAGATAAATAACAGCTGACATGTTCTGAATGCCTCTGCGTGTTTTTCACAGTTTGCCGCTGCTACATATTTTTGTGCATCCTGACGTGTGTGATGGGTAATCATTGTTTAATGAGATGCATAAATACCCAGAGATGAATCACGATGAGTAAACATGGATTCTGCTCATCCTTCTCCTCTGAAGCACAGAAACCAGAAAAGATTTGGGTAATAATCATGACTTCCCTCAGCACCCGGCTCTAGTGGAGGTGGAGAAACAGTGGCTTGTGTTTGGGAAACAAGGAGCTTTCTCTTGCTTCCCTTAAGGCTATTAGCATTTGTAATACGAACTGCACATCATCGAGCTGCGTCCTTGGGGATAGTTCCCTAGCAACAGCATCAAAACTAACAGGCGTCCAACGCCGAGGAGGACGGTGTCGGGGTCCGACAGCGTAATGAGAGCAGCAGACGGGTTTCGGGTTGGTGTTTGTGAGGTCGGCGCTCCTTCTGCTTCAACCCCAATGTCTCCTGGAAGAACGTGGTGCTGGTTTCATTTCGCTTCGTTCTCCCAGAGACGCGTCGACCGGCGGCAGACGCTTCAAAGTGGATCTCTCCCACCAGCCCTCCAGCGACAAATGCAATTTTTTTGTTCTAGTGTTTTCTACCCTCCTTTCATGTCTTTCGGGGTCTGCAGTCACAGGTCTGACTGCGCGCTCGACTACGCTGTGATCCCCTCTTGTCCCATCACTTTCAATCAGCAGAGCAGCAGGCCTTTGCAGACACTGACACACAAACACCTGATGCAACCTCCTGACCTGAAAATGAAAATAAGTTCAGGAAAACCAACTTCTGTCACACCGGCTCACTTCAGGTTTTTAAGGCATTAATAGTGTTCACAGGAAAATGCATGCCCTAACTTGCAGCGCCTCTCAACATTTTGTCACTTACAAACTAAGATTCTGTGGATTTTTATGGGATTTGATGTGAAAGTCAAACACAAAGTAGCGTCTCTATTTCTCGGCTTTGCCGTCTACTAACCAGAAAAGATTGAGATCATCTTAAAACTGTAATTTTACATTTTTCCTACAGATTCTTACTTGAGTTTAAGTGTTGGACTTTCTAATATGTTCTGCCTACAGGAGTGGAGTCCAAACCTTTTTCCATGTGGGCCAAAATTGTTGACTCAAAAAAACCCAACGTAAAATAAAGATTTTTACAGCGGTACATCTGGGCTTTTGTAGAGTAAATTTGGACCAAGAAATGAGACATTTTGTGATTAATCAGAAATTTTCATGTTTTTTGGAGAAAAATTTTCCCTAGCAAATTTTATTTATTTTTTTCTAGAAAATTTCAGAGATTTTTGTAGAAATGTACCACTTTTCTTTTTTCCCCTGTAATGGCCCTGATACAGATTTTGCATGTTTGCTGTACTAAAATAAAGTTTTAAAATTTTCTTTTGGGTTGATTGAACATATGAGAGTCTGTGGCGAAGATGAACATCATCCAGTAAACTTGTGATAAATTTACACTTTCGTTACAAAAAGCTAGATAACAAGAGATATTAGCATCTAGTTAGCGGTAGCCTCAAATGCCTCAAGTCACACAACGTAAAGAAGTCTGCAAACTCCTCAAACGTAATGAAAAATACGTATTATGGATTTAAAAGGGGTCATTTTAACCTATGCATGTGACAATTTTCATTTATAATAAAAAAAAAAGTCCAACTTATTTCCTTACTTTTTCATAATTGTGGACTATTTTCTGTTGGTCCGTCACACAAATTCCCAATAAGCCACATTTTGTTTCTCGCACTGTTGCCAATATGGATAAATTGAAGGGGTATGAAAACTCTTATGAAGCTTATAAATAATAAAAGTCATCTCTCCTGATCACACAACCTTTTCTATATGGAAATACTTTCTGTAAATGCACACTCCAGAGTTATCAGTATTTTAAAACTACATAGAATGAGAGGATTATCGTGGATAATGATGCATCATGGCGGTGAGCCTCGTCTGGACCCCTGTTGTGTTCGAAATTGGCCAAGTAGAGAGAGGGAGGGCTTCAGCCTTCAGCTCCTTCTGTCAGTTTCTCTTCACACAGCATGAAAACAATAAGATCCCGGGGAGGAGGCATGTACGCTGATACCGATCGGCATACATTTCCTCAACAGCGCAGCGTTCCAGGAACAATACGAAATGGGCTCAAAACACCTCATTTGCCTGAATGATTTGGGGGGCAAATAAATCAATGTCCAGGTTTATGAAAGTGCGCGCGTTTCTGCACAGCACGCTATTGATCATGCAGAGGCTCCTTGTGTATTTAAGCAGAGTGCAGGTTGAATCTGAATGTGAATGTATAGCAGCAAATGTGTGAAGGG